GGACACAAAGGCACGCTGCCCCCATCCTTATTCAATGGAGAACTCATTAGCGCTGCTCCTGGGGTTTGACAGACTCCAGCCTTTTCAGGGATCCCCTGAGCTACAGATTTGCCCAAGGTCAAATCCTTCCCAGGGTGTGATGATAAAAGTACATAAGTCAAGGGGTAACAAGAGAGGTAGCTTGCATTGACTGATTTAAAAAACCACATTACAAACTTTTAACTCTCTTCAATCTGAAGTTAAATAATGTTTAACTTGTGCAAGTACCCTGTATAGAGCCAGGGATTTGAACCCAAGCTTTCTGACTTGAGAGACTAAAGTCTTAACTACAGTGCTGGGCTACAAGATCAGTTTTCCAGCACCCTAAGATCACACGTTGCATATTGGTGCTTCTAAGTGTTCTCAAAGCGTTCTCACCCCAGTTCTTGGGATACACATATGCTTCCCTTTGATATACTAGACTATGTATATGTAAGCAGACCCTTCAATGTCTATTGCAAGACTGACCTGGCTCTGAAATCTTCTCCTGCAGCTCCAGACACTAATTTCATCCTATACTGACCTCTCATGGCTCTCATTGTCTTGGCCACATAGTTTAGCCCTTTCTGATTTTCATTTCAGCAATTTGTAAAATACAGACTAATAACTGCCCGGCTTATCTCATGTGGCTCCAAACCACAGCCCTTTGGCAAAGAACAAAGCCTGATGAGTCTTCCATATTCTAACAAAGTACAATATACCATAGGTGTCCAAAAAATGCTCCTTGATTTGAAATGATTACATCTAGTATATTAATTAGTCTCGCTGTCTCAGACTGAAGTTAAAGCAAAGGAAACAGAAGTGTCTGTCAAACTCAGTTCTGCTTGTCTTTCTCAAACACGTGGTCAGGATTCTATAATTTCTTCCTGACCCTCATCATTCTTGACAATCTAATTTTGATTCAGTCTCTTCACAAAAGTCAGCCCACAGATAAATATGCACATATAAAGTTAGTCTAAAACTACTGAGAAGTGCTTAACCAGTATAATCATGCATTCAGGCTGGACATTTTCCCATCCAGGGAAAATAATAATGTCTTCATCCTAACGTCATTGGCAGCATGCATAGCCCTCTCCCTCCCGCCACCCGCTCTTAGCTAGATTTCAAGTCAGCCTGGCCCACTTCTTTTCACCTGCTGACTGATTCACCATTTCATAGAAATGTATTAAAAACTTTGAAAACTGATTAATAAGGGTGGAAAAATTACGACCATTTTTTTTTTTTAAGGAGAGAGGGTTTAGCTGCCTTCAGCTCCTCGACAGCCCACTGCAGTTGTTTCTGACTTCCATGACAAAACACAGCAGCCAAGGGGAGGCTGCGGCTGCTGATTCCTTTCTTCCTTGCTAAGAAGAAATTAGTGCCTTAAACACAACCATCTGTTCTGCGCAGGCCTTTCTTCTGGACTTCAACAAGGGGGTGATACATCGATTCTAAGTCAAATTTCAATCTGATTCCTGGTATTTCTAATCTTACTCCTCTCTGCTGAGAGTGGATTTACAAAATTGGGCCAAAGTGAGAAAGGAAGCTGACTGATGTTTGAGTCCTGTTAATATTCATAGCTTGTGTTTTTTACTAGATTAAACCAATTCTACCAAAAAGAAAAAAGAAAAACAAACTCTGCTATATTTCACCTATGAGAAAAGTTGAATGTTCATGAGTTACGGAAGGTAAATAGTACACAGCAGTACATGACATTCATTCATTCATTCATTCATTCACTCATTGTTCAAACCTCTGATGCCTATCTTACACAGACAAGGGTCAAAATATACCAGATTAAGTAATCTGGAATGTGAAGTATTTTGGTTGAGTTATTGCTACCAAAACAAAGAATAGCCAGCATGCACATTCTAGTTATTCTCTTGTGAAATCTCAGCATCTCCTTCCGTGAGCCTCCATTCATTTACCATCCTCATTCAGTCCTTGTCCTCCCAACTTATAGACCAGAATTCACACAGTCACCTTCTGCAGTGTGACATCTTCTTTTGGCTTGGTATGTGTAATGAAATTCCCCTTCCTCAAGAATTCTGGACCCGAGGATAGATGGAAACAAACAGGCTGTGCTAACAGAAGAAAATTAGGATTGCATTTCACTGAAGGCTGTTCTAGGTCCACAAAGAGTAACTGGAATGTAATTTTGGATTCAGTTAACAAGATTAAAACAGAACAGACAGAGTCTGTCTCTGAATATAAAGATAGGTAACATTCCAAAACCGGTTTCACAGAGAAGTTTTTTCAATAAACACCAAGAGCGGTACATAAATTAATTGTAACATGCTGACTAATGTGTGTTTCCTTAACTATAAAATGTAAAGGTAGAACATGAGAATTTCAAATGTCCCAATCAATTTTAACACTCTGTATTCATTATATGGAGACTTTGAAATGCCATCTCAACTTTAGAGCACTACTGCTTATAATAGAAAAGAAGGGAGATCTGAAATCAATGACTTCCGTTTGCACCTTATAAAACTAGAAAAAGAAGACTACCACAGTCTTCTTTTATAGAATAAGTTCCAAGACCCACAGTGGGTGCCTGAAACTACAAATAGTGCCAAACCCAACGGCTGTCCATCAGGACATGTTTCTGTCCATGCGATCCATCAATAAATGTAATGCCTTTCCACCTTAACTAAGCACTTATCACACACTGCGGTCATAACTCTTTCAGTTTGAAATGCGACAGTGAAAGTAACACGAATTTCTTTTTCTTCACAATTTCATGGATGGAAGATTTATTCTTACTGTAAATCTTAGCAACCTCAGCATACAATTTTTTTCCTTATTAAGTTGAGAACTTTTATGATTTTACTTAAAGGAAACACTTTACAGCTTCTCTTTGGCATGTTTGAGTTGCCAGCACCACTACTCCAGTGCTTTGGAGCCATTAAGTCAAGTAAGGGTGACTTGGACACCAGCATGGTGATGCCTCCTCATCAGTGGATCTGACAACCTTTGAGGTCTGCAAGTGTGACTCACAGGCAGACAGCACCTGCAGCACAGAGACACTGGGATTCACGGCCAGGGCAGGATGAAGCTGGATGGGGTGAGGTTTTACGTGCTGCTCAGGACAGAACACAACTTAAACCTTATGAATTGTTCATTTCTGGAATTTTCCATGTAAAGTTTTTAGACCATGGTTGGCTGTGGGTAACTGAAACTGTGAAAAGCAAAACCATGGATAAGGAAGACTATGTAAATTAATCCTCATGAAAGCAGAAGAAAGGAAAAAATAGAAGTATTAGAGTGAAAATCAAGAAAACAAAAACAGAAATACAACAGAGAAAATCAATGAAAGCAAAAGCTCATTCTCTGAGATCAGCAAAATTGAGAAATCTCTAGTCAGACCAATAGAGTAACAGAGAAAAGATACTAATCACGAATATCAGGAATGAGAGAAGAAAGTACACGACTCCTTCCACAGATATTAAAATAATAATCATGTAATATTATAAATAATCTGCCAATTAATTCTACGACTTAGATGAAATGAGCAAATTATTTTAAAAAACAAACTACCAAAGCTTAAGAATAAACAGATTACCTGAATAGATTATTTATTAAAGAAATTAAATTTGCGGTTAAAATCTTCTCACAAAGGAAATGCCACACTTGGATGGTTTCACTAAGAAATTCTACCAAACATTGTACACCAATTCTAGAAAAAATTTCCAGAACACACTGAGTGAACGGATGTTCAGAAGGAGCGGAGGAGCACAGGATGGCATCCAGAGAGCACAGGGGACCAGAGATGTGACCAGGTACCAAAATCACAATGGAATCAAAGGTAACATGGAAGCTGTCCTACGAATTCCAGAGTACTTAAGCCTGTGAAATCCCAGCCTGAGCCACACTTCCAAAGCAAAGGGTTATAGTCTGAAAACAGATAACCACAGAAACTATACTGAGAGAGTAATTACAATTTACAAAGTGATTTCACATACACTATCATCTCATAGCCTATCTCATCTGATCCTCCAAAAACCCCAAGGCTCAGAAAGGCTGAGCAACCGGCCAAGGTCACACAGGTCCTTCTCCCTGGCTCATGGCTGAGTTAGGCCATCTTCTGCTCATGCAGTTCCCCTCACCTAGTATCCAGCCTTCTGCAATAGAAGCTTCTTGAGGGCAGGGACTAGTCTGAATTGCTCACTGTTATATCTCCAGAACTCAGAACGTAGATTCTTTTAATAATATTTATTGACCAACTACTGACTCTAAGATCAGCATACTTTTCACGACACTGACCAGCATATTCTGCAATGTTTTGTCTTCACCTAAGAAATAGAAGCTCTCCCTTATAAGTCCACACGCAAGGAAGCTATAGAAGGCCAGGCCTGTGCCCTGGTGCCCACTGGCCGCTCAATTAATTGGATTGCTATGAGCACCAGCTAACTTCATCAAGAGGGGAGCTGCACAGCAGAGGAGCCGTGACTCCACATCTGGTGGGTTGATTCAAAATGCACCAGTGTTGCTATCCACCCAAAGCATGCAATGAGTTCACCTCTTTCTGGGATTAAAAATACTAGAACTAGCTATGGGGTTGAAACTAGACAGGCTGGACTTTGAGGCAGAAAATACTTTTACATGAATTTTCTATTACTTTGCCTACAACAAAACTCCTATGTTTCACTTTCAATTTTCTACACGTCTGTATGTGAGCTACATACTGTGAGCATATGCTGTGTTGAACCATGCGAAACTACCATTTTTGTATGTGAAAATGATTAAATATTGGCAATTTCAGATGGTTCAGCTTTGTTTTTTTATAAACTGAAAACAGTCTTAAAAAAAAAAGTAGACTATAAATATGCATATTTTCCCTGAATTGGCCACTTTCCTCTCTCAATTCCAGTAATACTAATATAATCATAAGATTAAAAATCTTGCCATTAGCAACCAAGATATCCTTCAGTAGATAAAAGGATAAACTATGGCACATCCATACAATGGAACAGTATTCCTTTTTTTTTTTTTTGAATGAGAAAACATTTATTCCTTCTCCAAACAGCATCCCAGGGCCGGGCATCGCCCCCAAGGATTTGTAATACATTCGGCACAGAGTGGGAGCCATGGGGCATGGGACACCCTTGCCCTCCCCATGCTTCCTAAGTAACAACTGCAGAATATTTACATAAAGCTGGGTGTTGTCAGGCAAAGCCCTTCCCTGCTGCCAGGGGTGGGAGCAAGGAGGAAGTGCTGTGGGCACCAGCTCTGCCTCCACACCATGGGGGCAGCCCAGAGGCCACTGGCCCAGGGTGGTGGCCCCCAGATCATACAGCAGTGGGCCTAGTGGGAGCAAACCTGAGTGAGGACGCAGGAGCCTGGTCCAGCCCCGATGCACAGGGTAGGTGTAAGGCCCCCCAAGAGTCTTCGGCAGAAAACACAGATAACAGTGGCTCCCACGGCCTGACCCGGGCTGGGGGAAAGCTGAGGCACTGGTAAGTAGCATGTGGGTGCCTGCTGGCTTCTAGCCACTCCAGGCGGGGCTGGGGTCATTAAAAGCAAGGAGAAACACTAGCTAAAAATCCTTTCCTAAAAGTGCCCATCTTATAGTAAGATTAGCAAGGGCCCTTTGGCCCTCGGTCCTTCCTGGTTATTGACTGTCCCTGGTTCCTAGGAAGACAGAGCTGTTCTCCAGCTAAAGCTTCTCCTCTCTATAAAGCAGTTTTACTATTTCCTTCAGAGCAGGAGCCAAAATAGTATAGGAGGGGAGGGAGGCACCTGGCACTCCCTAGGCCTACACAGGAAAAACAGAACCGAAGGCAGAATCATTGTATGAGATATTTATTAAAGGAGTGTCTCGGCAAAAAAAATTGGATTTTTTTTTTTTTTTTTTTAACCAAACACTCATCCCATTTAATTTCCTGTTACATGCTCTGAGGAAGCCAAGAACATTAGGTCCCAGGGCAGCAATGCTCTGAGATTCCAGCTCAGGCCCCCTCTATGTGACAGATTCATGCACACACATCCACGCACATCATAAAACCAGGCAGAAATACACATGCATGCACAGGTGGCTAGAGAACCATAGGGCAGGATGGGAAAAAGGGCTGGTCAAGGATATGCAATCAACTGGAAACTGGGACCTAGAGAATGCTTCTGTTGCAGGCTGAACATGAGTTAAAATTAGAACAAAGGCAGAACACAGAATAAAGGTGGGATGCTCAGACAAGAGGTTGGATAGATGGAGAGATTGAGATGCAGGGAGTGTTTTGGGAAAGCAGCCTCAGAAAGGGAGGTTTTTCTTTATTGGGAACTCAGGTGGACAGGGGTCCTATGACTCCAGTGATATACTGAGGCTGAGGGAATATGCCACAGCATTGCCTCTGCAATCTGTGTCCTCTCCCAAAGTAGAGGAAACCATGAGCCCCAACTTCTGTCCCTCCCCATTAACACTCTTAAGGACTTTCCCATTACCCAAAAAGAAATTACCACCCCCCCCACTACAAACACACACAAAGTTAGGTCCAGCATAGGCCAAAGTTAGGCCAAGCATAGAAAGCCTCAGTAACTCTTCTTGGTGGAACCAAAGCCAGAGAAGCCCATCACAGCTGCCATCTCATCATCCTCCTCAAATGTCAAGTCCTCCTCAGCCCTCCTTTTCTTCTCCTTCTGTTTCTCTTTCTTGTATGCTTTGGCCTTTTCCTCCTCTTCTCTGAGCTCCTTCATCCTTTCCTCAAAATCATAATCCTTCTGCTTTTCTTCCATCTTCTTCTTGTTGACCTCAGAAAGTTTCTTCACCCGATCCAGGGTGGAACGTTCCACACACATAGACATGCCGAGGTTTCTCTGATGTTTCTTTCCATTAATGTGATCCAGAAAGTTGATGGAGTCCTTCACCACACAGTCACAGACATTGCAATAACATCCTCCCATCTCAGATTGAGGTGTCGTCTTGGTAATAACAATTGTCGTCCGAGGCCAGTGGATCACGAGGTCAAGACCATCCTGGTCAACAAGGTGAAACTCCGTCTCTACTAAAAATACAAAAAATTATCTGGGCATGGTGGTGCGTGCCTGTAATCCCAGCTACTCAGGAGGCTGAGGCAGGAGAATTGCCTGAACCCAGGACGCCGAGGTTGCAGTGAGCCGAGATCGCGCCTTTGCACTCCCACTTGGGTAACAAGAGAGAAACTCCGTCTCAAAAATAAATAAATAAATAACAATCGTCTTCCCAAGTTTGGATTCCAAGTCCACCCTGTAGTCCCTGCGCCGTAAAAGCTCTCGCTTGACAGGCTGCACTGGTTTTCCATCCTTCTTTACTCTCTCTTCCGTGAGCCTCTTCTCGGCGAGTTTCTTGTATTCATCTTTGTCACACTTTCGGCGAAGTCCAAATTTTTGTCCCGCTGCCCGACACCATCTTCACAGCAAAGTGAATGGCAAGCCGAAAAAAATCCGAATTTTTTTTTTTTTTTTTTTTTTTTTTAGGGCTTGTGCTTATTTATTAGATATGATCTCTCAGGGGTAGCTGAACTTGCTGTATTTGTTCTCTTTGGGCCCAGCTGCCAAGTCAATCTGTCAAGGTTAAAACACCTCCAGTCCCAGGGATTGGCTGTCTCCTGGTGCAAAGATGCCTGGGGACGGGCTGCAGGTATCCAAGGGGCCGAATTCAAGTAGGAAGCTGCAGCTGCTAAGCCAGCAAAGCTGGTGCCAGGTTGGAGGTGGGGAGGCGAGTGCTGTGAGGTGCTGGGATCTGGGAGTCGGGGAGAGGCCAGGGTGGTACCTGCCAAGGCTGATTTCCTTCTGGCAGCTGGGGATCAACTGGAAGCTTTCTTCCGGACTTGAAGGGAGCAGAAGGGCTGCCTCAGCTGTTTTTTCCAATCGTTGATGCAGCCGAGGTGTGTGTTGGTCACAAAGTTTCCCGTTCCCGACAGGTCAGGAGGCCCCTCCTCTCTGCTAACCGGGCCATCATTCCACATGACCAGAGCGGCCCCTACGACCAGAGCGGCTTTGTCAGCGCCATCCGGCAAGTCATCACCACCTGCAAGCAGGCAGTGGGACCTGGTGGCATCCACGCAGGCCCAGTCCAGATCGTCAACAAGTTGCTGGCGTGGAGCGGCGTCATGGAGTGGCAGGAGGCCAGGTCTGAGCCCAACAGCTGGTCCAAGAGGTGGCTGCCGTCCCACGTCTACGTGAACCAGGGAGAGATCCTGAGGATCGAGCAGTGGCCGAGAAAGCTGTGCATGCAGCTCATCCCGCAGCAGCTGCTGACCACGCTGGTGCCGCTGTTCCGAAACTCGTGCCTGGTGCAGTTCCACTTCACCAAGGACCTGGAGACGCTGAAGAGCCTGTGCCGGATCATGGACAATGGCTTCGCTGGCTGCGTGCACTTTTCCTACAAGGCGTCGTGCGAGATCCGCGTGCTCATGCTCCTGTACTCCTCGGAGAAGAAAATCTTCATCGGCCTCATCCCCCACGACCAGGGCAACTTTGTCAACGGCATCCGGCGCCTCATTGCCAACCAGCAGCAGGTCCTACAGCGGAACCTGGAGCAGGAGCAGCAGCAGCGAGGGATGGGGGTCTAGTGGCTACCCCGGACTGGGCCCCTCCAGGAGTCACAGACGAGGCCCCTGCAGAGACTGGTGACACACTTCTGAGCAGGGGCCCCTGGGGACTTCGACTGCCCAGCAACATGGAGGATGGTGTCCTGAGGGCTCAAGGATGGTCTCCAACCCTGTGTGTTTCCCCAATAAAGCCTTTTAAAAACCTATTAAAAAAAAAAAAAAAAAAAAAAAGATGCATGTGCCCAGTTGTTGTCTGCCATACAGAAGGCTCAGAAGGAGCCTCAGCGGGTACCAGCAACATGGATTTCCTCAGATACTGAGTCTTAATGAGACTTCTCATTGAATGTCAGAGTTTTAACACTGTACCCTTGTCACAGCCCTCTACAGCTGCAATCTAAAACAGCAGCATTTGACCCATTATAATGTGTACAACTTTAAAAGTGCAGCAGTTTATTAATCTTATCTGAAAAAAATTTATTGTATGGTTATGTAGTTACCTATTTGGCTATTAATTTTTTTCCCTTTACCTCATATGAAGCTGTGGTAGAAATATGAATAATGTTAAGACACTGAGTATGAGACTTTTCAGATTTCACATGATCTTTTAAGATTCAAATAGAGCTTTCCTAAATTAAAAAAAAAAATACTATTCCATTGTATGGATGCGCCATAGTTCCATGGCACAGGAAGGAAGGAAGGAAGGAAGGAAGGAAGGAAGGAAGGAAGGGAGGGAGGGAGGGAGGGAGGGAGGGAGGGAGGGCGGGAGGGCGGGCCAGCGGGCAGGTGGGATGGAGAGGGAGGGAAGGAGGAGGGGAGGGGAAGGGAGGAAAAGAAAAGAAATAAGCTATCAGGCCATGAAAAGACATAAAGAAAACTTAAATGTATATTACTAAGTACAAGAAGTCAATCTGAAAAGGCCACATCCTATATGATACTAACCATATGATGCTCTAAAAATGCAAAACTATTGACATGGTAAAAAGATTATCAGTTGCCCAAGAGGTGGGGTCGGGGGATGGTGACTAGGTGGAGCACATCGGATTTTTCAGCCAGGGAAAATGCTCTGTATGACACTGTAATGGTGGATACATATCATGTATCTGTCAATAGTCATCGAACCTATAACACACGGAATAAGCCCTGAGCTCATCAGTGGGCTTTCTGTGGTAATGATGTGTCCACGTGGGTTCATTAATTGCAACAAATGTGCTGCACTAATGCGAGATATTAATAACAGAGAGAAACTGTGGTGAGAGGGAGTACATGGATACTTTCTGCTCAATTTTTTGTAAACCTAAAACTGCACACAGAAATAAGTCTATGGAGGCAGAGGTTGCGGTGAGCCGAGATCGCGCCATTGCACTCCAGCCTGGGTAACAAGAGTGAAACTCCGTCTCAAAAAATAAATAAATAAATAAATAAATCACAGAAACAAAAAACAAACAAACAAAACCCTACTTTGCCTTTTGTTGCCAGGTAAGAAAACCAAAGGAAAGGTGAGAGAAGGCACAGAATAGTCCGTGTGCACCTGGCGGGGGAAGGACGCCACTCACTGTCCACACAAGGCGCAAGACAAGTCCCAGAGCCACGCTCCATCGATTTTCCAATCGGCCAAGGGCTGACCTTTCTTTCCTAATAGCATGACTTAACAACAGCCTTGAAATCCTTTTGCGAATTTGCTGCTTCCTTTCAAGCGTTACAAATTTTCCATTTGGGGGTGTTTCTAAAGCTCTCGTGACGTTTAATCTCATCTCCAAGTCATGCCGAAAAGTCCAACACTTGCAAACATTTCCAAGTAAAATGAATTGCTTATGACGAGCAATGTCCCCAGTGTTTTCAAACCTGCTGGTCTGTGAGGACCAGAGTCACTCATTTGTGTCTATGTCATTTGTCTAAGCCCTGGGATTTCTCAAGGTTGAGGGGTCCCCTGAGATGTGACATCTGTAATTATAATCCATCTGAATTCCTCTTGTCACCTTCTTCAGGAAGAGTGTGACAGACCCGCCCGTCCTTGGGATCTCTTAGTAGAAGCACATATTTATATATTTTCTGCCCTAGATCTGCACGCTCCTCAAGGACATATGCAAGCTTCCATCTGTGGAAATCAAACCGTGTTTATTTCTCCCCCCTCCCTGGTATTCTCATTCAGTTAAGCAGAATGTCCACTTTCACCAAAGAGAATTTCTCTTGCAATTAGTTATCTGCCAGATGACTTAGGAGATACCAAAAGGCAATTTTTTTTTTTCCTTTTTACCTCTTTGGAACTTCTTGAACTTGAAAGTAAATATCATTTAATCAAATGCATGGATGCATTAGTGCTGATCCACATTATGCATCAGCACTAATGCATCCATAGAAGTAGGATAATGAGGCTCTTTCTTACTGGGGTAGGATATCTTTAGGAAGAACTGACCTCACGCATGTGGAGGGTAAACAGCTTGTCTGCACCATTGGCTACAGAGACTCCATGGGCATTTGGAGGCACTGGAATCTCGAGACTCAGACATCAAGTGCTTCAGAAATGAATTTACGCTACACCATAAAGCAACACACCATATAGCACTCTGTGTCTTGGCTCTGACCACTAGTTAAAACCTGGGGCACCCAGAAAGGAAACATACTATGTTGCATTTCACAAAGTCTTTCTCCAGCCACATGACCCCAGGCACTCTCTACAGGAGAGCCCACAGTCCTGCTTCTCTATCAACCTTCTTCCTGGGAGTTTACTTGGGCTTTGTGTTGCCTCCCTGTCTTAGGGATGCAGGAAACACAACTCAAGAAGGAATGAAGCCCACCAGCAGAGCACGTGGCCTGGAGCAGGAAACTGCAGGGCAGTGTGGTCTGGGTTTTAGCTCACTGATGCTGTTAGACACACTATCCTGCTGCCTTTCCAACTCTCCCTTCCCCAGTGGACGCAGGTGTTCCCAGATCAGGCATGTCCCTCCCCTGTGGCTCAGTTTTCTTCTCTCTGGGTCTTTGTCTCAGCTGGGGACACACACAGCCAGCTGTCAACATCAAGGTGTTGTGCTTTCGTGTGGCAATGATTGCATTGATGTGAGGACGAGGGTCTACAGGTGGGCTGGGGACACCCGGCAAAAGTGGCAAATGGCATCTCATTCTCCTGTCAGCAGAGGAGGACGAGATGGCTCTGGAAGCTCAGAAGAAGGAGGCTGACAGACGCAGAAATACTCTGTCTCCAACGTAAGACAAAGCCTCAGAAGTCCTCTCTGCACCTGTATTTCTCCACTTACCAGTGTGTCACCAGCAATGCTATTCTAGCATCCTGGCCATGGTATAACTCCCCAGACCCTTGTCTAATCACACATCTACTCTGGACTTAGCCCTTACCTTGAAAGCCCTAGCCTTGAGCCCATGATTATAACCATGCGTCCGATCACTGCGGCTGATCTGGGGGTAAGCCTCCATGAGCAGTCACGGCCAATGGTTTGCACACTCACGTGAAGCACTCATGCCAAAAGGCCCTGGCATACTTGACTCCTAAAGACACAAATACAAACCTCACCCGGTCTGTCCATCAGGCAGCCAAAGACACAAATTGAAAACTGCAAGGGATCCTTATGAAATACCAGGATCACCAGACCACGAGACTGCTTTTTAGTGCAATTTCTGGCCAACATAGTTAACTCCAGAATTTACAGTTACAGAAATTCAATTCAGAGCCTCGGCTGTCCCTAGGCTGAGGGGAGAATTTAGTATCACACCTGCTTCCTCCCACGGGGCTCCTTTTACGTTTTGACTGGCTAAACTGATGCATCAGTGGGGAAACTGCTCTCATCAGTGGAGTGGAGTATTGATTTAAAGGTCTGAGACTCTGGAACTCAAGATATAAACTTTCACTCCCCAGATTTATTTTATACAATCCATTGCATTAATGTTGCATATAAAAATTTCCTCATACTTTATAATAAACATTTTCTGTTCTGCAAATTGCAAACTGATGGCATTCTTGAGCATCCAAAGGGATGTTTTATATTCCATTCATTACCACTGCAAGTATCATAGCATTTAGCCAACACACTGCCTAGACGGGTTTTGGTCACTTCCTGTTACAAAATGAACCGCATAGCAAAAGAAGAGCTTAAAATATATAACCGCAGCTTTCTAATTTTCCACACTTTCTTCTTTGTTCTTCTTTCCCGCTTTCTTCTCACTCAGAGTCTTCAATAGCAACTCTGGTGTGTGAAGAGATAGAGGTTGATGCTGTGAAGTCCCTGCTCAGAGCAACCTAGCTCTCCCCCTCTGGCAGGCTCTCAGGGGCTGGAGCAGCTACAAAGAAAGGGGACGTTTCCGCTCCATATTTAACCTGCCTTGAAAGCCTGAATAGCCACAGATACCCAGTGAACATGCAGAGCAGCTGGTGCACCTAACCTCAGGCTCCATGAGGCTCCCCAGAGGGAGGAGACACCCCACGGTTGTCTGTGCTGCTGAAACATGACACCCCCCTCAAGGCATGTCCCCTGCCATGCCACATCTTCTTTCCCAATAAATGACCCCCACATGATCTACACCGATCAGTACTGAAAAACAAAACAAAGAGCATTGATGTTTCATCTCTGGATGTTTCTTTCTGTATTTAGCCCCAGAGGAGAAAAGCACTTGAGAAAGGGAGAGAGTAAGCGCTGAAGTCAGCAACTCCCCAAGTGGTTGTCTGCTAACCAGAACCCTGAATCTCACCCAGCTCTTCATCACTGTCTCCATCGTATTTAAAAGAAAGAGAAAGAAAAAAAAAAACTTTTGAAACTGCAGACCTACAGTTCTCCCTTAAATGCACTAATTAGAATGGTATCTCTTTCCCCTCCTGGCCCCGCCCCACCCTACACAGCTGCTGCAGCAACTGGAGAGGTGAAGGTGCCTGGAATTGCAAACCCGAAGCGTTTTTCACAGTCTTCCCTTCTGCTTCTTCATCAAATCCACTCCAGAATTCTTTCCCCTTCCAGTCAGAGTTCTCCTTATTTTCTCTCTTTCTCCAGGGTGTCAAGGAAACTGCAGGAAGTCCCAGAACACCTGCTGTGCTGGGAGATCTGATCTACTTCCCAGGGCAGGACTGAATGGGCACAAAGCCTTCCAGCCCTGGAACTGGCTAACTGGCCCCGCTTTAGCCAGTTCGCCTGCTCTTCACCTCCAGGGGCCACAGGCAGGGAATCAGGCCTGGTTAGCTTTGCAGACTCACTCCCCTCACTCTGT